TATTGCAAAATGAATGAGTTGATTAACGGTACTTACACTTTTCTGAAGAGTCAAATATTGAAAAAGATAAGGCAACAGTGAAATTGTTGACGGTGTAAAGTTAATAAATACAGCAAAAATAGAAACAAGAACTGTAAGAAATCAAATGCTAACTGCAAAGGAGAGTCCAGAATTTTGCTCAAGGTAAAAAGGTTTCATCTACGGAGAAAAAAAGGCAGTCGATCAATCCTCTTAAAGGGTGTGTTTGTTTATAAATTTATCCAATTCATACTCAAAATCTAACTCTAACTCTACCCCAACTTCACTATCTTCAATATTATTATTATAATTACTAGATGGGTTTACGCCGTGCGTGCACGGCGGTCTAACACCCGGTGTAAAACTACTGTGAAAATTTGTCATAAGTTGTTGCAGCTTTTATTCTAGCGTATGTTGCATTTGTTCACATATACTGTGTCTTTTTTTTATGAAATGTTTTAAGATTTTGCTGTCTTGAATTTCGCCAGTGGTTTATGAGTTGTGAGGTTGTTTAAATCCGTGTATATGTGCATGCATCCCCAAATTGAAATCGTGGTCGAAGTTATTTGCTTACGATTTTTTCTATTGATTCATAAACATTCTATGTGTTACGTGTATTGTTTGTTTATGCTTTTATGCTGAAAACTGAATTTTAGAATTGGGAGCATGTACATTGGTCCTTGATAATTTATTAGAAATTGTTCATGTGTGATTTCACACCATATTTATATAGTATCTAGAGCTTAGTCATTGCATTATTGGTGTATAAATTGCATATTTGTGCTTTAATTCTATATTTGTTGGAAAGGTATTACACGTGCTTGTTTTGTAGATATTTCGACACTTTAGTAGAGCTTTTGGCTATTGGAGGCGCATGGAGGGTACCTAAGATCCCCGAGATGATGAAAGATTGGTGCACGAATGAAAAAAAATTGAAGAAACGAGTGAAACATGCAAAAAGTAGAGTGCAGATTTGTGACACGGGCACTATGCCCATGTCAGAGGTTGTGTCACCTCAACAGAGAGAATTTGAACCCCAGGGACCTGACACGGTCTGCGACTCGGACAGCGACACGGGCAGAATGGTCGTGTCGCGCGTGCAGACAGATTTTTAAAGCTTGCCTTTTTGGATAAGGAGAGGGGTTTTGGACATATAAAAACGCATATTGACTTTATTTTGAAGGGAAGAACGTGGAGAACACAAGAGAGGATCCCTAGCACACACAAGAGAAGCAATTGAGGAACAAAAAAAGGATCAACTACGAAGGGATCAAGGAGATTGAAAGATCAACAAGATTCTTAGTTTTTATTTCTTCTTTCCTTTTGAAATTTTATTGATCATGTTGATTTCTAATATGTCTACGTGTTTGAATTCGAACATGAGTGTCTAGATTTATTGATTCTGGAACTTGGTAGTAGATTAATATGTTGGGATTTTGGATGATTTATTTACAATTAAGTGTTTTTTTTTAACCCTATTCAAGTATTTTGTTCTTATTTCATGTTTAGAACTTGATCAATTCTTTTACATGTTTGACAATATTGTTCATAATTCGAGAGATGAGTTCAATATTAGGTCTTTAATATTTGACATAATTTACTTGCTTGAATCGAGAGATTAGTAGGTAATTGTGGGAATAGCAAATCTTTTAATCTATTTGGAGTTGAATTGCATGTGTTGAGTGGAGACGCTAATATATATGATTTAATCTACGGTTTTATCGATCTCGAGAGGGACGGTAAGATAAATTTGTGATCATCTTATAGGGTAGATAAAGAAAATAATTAATTGTGATATTTCTGAAGAATCCTAATTATTAATTGAATCCAACGTCTTACAATCCTTCATTTCCATATATTTTTTTACATGTCGATCTAGCTAGTTCTTAATTTTTGCTTTATTTCCTTTCATTTATTTTCTTAGTTTAGTTAATCAATCTCATATTCGGTCGTCTAAATAAAGTTGACATTATCATAATCTAGTATTTGATATATTGATTATTTGGTCTCTTGGGATACGACCTTGCTTGCCACATACTACGAGCGAAGCCGTAAACTTGCGATCGAGCTTTAAAAACATAGGCGAACAGAAATTCTTTAGGTACTTGAGGGTTCATGATGGAGATGTACTATTTAGTTGATTCTTGAATTAACCTACAATCATATTACGTGGAGGTTGTATAATCATTTTATAAATCAAAAAATGATTGTTACAAGTGACATTTAAAAATATAGTGAAAAATTTTTTATGACTTGTTTTGTTGTTTTGTTGGGTTAAGAAGTGTGAAGTAATGTACAACATAATTATAACGAAACCAACATGAAAAAAAAAACTGCATTTAAATTAGAACGTTTTAAAGAAGGTAATTGGAAAATAAAATACACTAAGATTAAAATATGTCCACACAACAAAAAAAATTTGCTCGGTTAATTCATAATAACTTTATCAATTGCTTTGTGCCGATAGTAGTTTGGATTACAATATGGCTCAACCCATCCTTTGAGGCAATATTAACTAAATAAGCAAGCAAACTAAAAAAAATAACAATAGTATATAAATGATTATAATCCAACAGATATTCGAATTGGCAGTAATTCGCCTGCTGCCTATCGCATGTCGTTCAGCCAAGGATCGAATCTTTGGTATGCCGCGGTCGGGGCATGCCCCCGCGCCATTGGGGGATCTCATCCTTCACTTCTTGGTGCCAAGCATCTCGACATCATATAATCTTGCAGCAGTCAGACCAACATATGCTCCTACCCAAAATTTAGATGCAAGCAAAAGATGAATGTGGACATATTTGTTTTCATAAAAAATAATCCATTTTGCTGATTAGAATGATTGCAGCACATGAAAACTAACTAATATAGAAATGAATCGGCAAGGTGCTACACCGACATCTCAGAACATGCGACATGGAAAAGACGATAAGATAAAGACAACTTGAAAAAGCCTTGAGGTTAGTTGTAATAATTTCGAAACACTAAATATATCTCATTTATCGGTAAGAACTCAAAGAACCAAAGCAAATACAAACTGAAACAAAATAAAAAAAACTACCAAAATGGATTTTACAATAGTATGTAAATGATGCTTTACCAAGCCAGAATGAGGAAAAACAATTACACACAAGCCAAAACCAGAACCTCAATTTTCCCGTATGTAAGTTTCTTAAATCCATCCAAAATATGGGACATAAACAAACACAATAACAATAAAACGAAAAAAAAAATAAATAAATAAAAAACTAACATACCTCGCGAATAGTTGTCAGGTGCTTAGGTTCGTCTTAATCGTCCAATAGCTTGAAATTGTTTTCCCCAAGCAGATAGTTGTTAATATAACTGAGAGAATTGACAAATGCCAAATATCCAAGAAATATATTAAGAAAACTTTGAGAAGCATTAGAAAAATTTCTAACACGGATCAAAACACGGTGAAGATAAACACAATGATGCACCAAAACATACCCTCACTCATTACCGCTCAATGTAGTTATACACAGGAATCTACCCCAGATGACAAAACCACCAATATCATTTTTGTCAAAAGACTAAAAAAAAGTATATATTAGCAAACCCAAAAATAAAGGAATTAACATTCATATATAAGTTTTCATATCTTAAATAAAGTATATTAGGCAACCCAAGAGCAAAGAATGAACATTTCATATAAAAGTTATCAGCTGAGCTCTCAGTTAAATGTTGACTTGATACAGAAGAAAAACCAATATAAATAATGGAAGAGATATTGTAATCAATGCAGCTATGCATGGGGAAAAAACTGTAGAATGATTATCTCCACCTCCTACAACGGCTCAAATGTAGTCGATAATCATATTATAATTTAGTATAAGTTAAATGTACACAATTTCTTGTAATTAGTCGATAATTGTTCTCTAGTATGTTTGCGCCATCATTTATTATTGTTCTTAATTATACCGTATATTTCGCAAAATTGTTCACCTAGCTTCACTCAACAGAATATGTATACATGATTGCATGCAAGTGTCAAGCAAACACTACAAATTACACCATAAAAACATTATTCAAATAGATCAAGCCAAAACAATATTTTCTTAAAAAGTAATATTTAATTTATCAGTCATGAGAGAGCGCAAAATATGAGCTGATTAAAATGGAGAATGTTTTACTCCAATAAATTAAGCCAAAACAACATTTTCTTAAAAAGCAATATTTAATTTATCAGTCATGAGAGAGCGCAAAATATGAGCCAACTAAAATTGAGAAAAACAATCAGACAGTTGTGTCAAGGAATTAAAAAAAAAAAACGAACTAAACACTAAACGTTTACCTTCCTCCTACAAACTATTAAGACAACCCTGAAGAAGATTCTGTTACTGCTCCCATCCCATATAGTAGCAGTATCACGAAAACCTCAAAGCTTGGTTTCATCTCCATCATCTAACCAACAAACACTAAACCTTTAACATGATCATTGCCCCTGAATCAAGTTTTAAAATGTAAAAAGTTCAAAATACAAAATCCAACAAATCCTCATCCTTACCAAAGCTTTGAGTACAATATCTACTTCACAAATAAAGATGTCACAAGGCTTGAGTATACATAAAAGAAGAATCAAGTTGTGCTTAAAACGAAAGGTAGAAAGTACCATTTTCCTCCAGGGACTCTCGTCTCCTGAACATGAACTCAATGCAATAATATGTATGAAAAATGTCAACACGTGCTTGATGCTACTGTTGCGTCAAAATGTCAATCCTTAGCAATAGTATATTATAATTGAATGGTAAACAAAGTTCATACACTACCTCGGAGCTTCAGTTTGCAAGATTTTCAACTCATTTGGAAGATCCTCTAGCTGGTCCAAATTTTTTGTTACGAAAAATAAAGCATAGACAAAAAGAGACCCATTACCTTCATAAATCAAGCAGCCATAGAATGGAGTTCTCTTTGAGTACACAGTCTAGCTATGCGGAAACATGAGAATTCCATATCATAGATCACCTCAACCTGTAGCAGATGAATAGAGTG